CGGTCCGCGAAGGGAGCTGGTGGTAGCCCCCTGAACATCGTTGAGGTGCTCCGTGATGTCCCTATCCAGGTGGAGGAGGAGTCGATTGTGTGTCCACGACTGGCTGTGGTGTCGGGGCTGGTCTATGACGTGATCCTTGGACGTGACTTCTGTTGCCAAAACAGAACTATCATTGACGATGAGAAGGGGGTGATCCGTATGAAAGGGATGACGATTCCACTTCCAACATACCCTGAGATCCGTCCCCCGCGGGCTAGAGTCATTCTTGGCGATGCAGTAACACTACCAGGTCGTTCGGTAACAACGGTAGCAGCAGTGGTGCAGCGACTTGATGGCCAGGGACCTTTTGTGACGTCAGCAGGCTCGGTAAGTGGGATGATGGAGCCAAGCCGCACGGCGGAGCGTGAGGATCTATTGATTCCACGGGCTGTGGTGGTGATCGCCTCCGATGGCACCATACCTATCCGGTTGACGAATGTCGGAGCGGAGGGCGTCCGTCTCTTGAAGGGCTCTGATGTCGGGACGTTCCTTGCGTTTGGGGGCGGTGAAGACGCCCTGTGTATTTTGTGTCCCGGGGCAGACTGTGCCGATTGCAATGTGGCGAGCTGTGGAGATGGAGGTAATCCATCTCATGATCCTGGAGAGGTGGAACCGGAGGTGCAGCGAGCCCTGTCACCAGAACTGACAGACTTGAGTGAGAGAGGTCGTAACAAACTACGGGGTTTATTTGAGACCTACAGTGACGTCTTCAGTAAAAGACCGGGAGACATTGGTCGTACAGGTGTGACAAAACACAGGATTGACACGGGGGATGCAGTCCCAGTCAAACAACGTCCACGACGGATACCCATGAAAGTCCGAGACCAGGTAGAGAAACAAAAAGAAAAGATGTTACAGGATGGTGTCATTGAGGAAAGCGAAAGTCCGTGGTGTTCGCCGGTCGTGTTGGTGCGCAAGAAAGACGGATCCTTCCGCTTCTGCGTCGACCTGAGGGCTGTGAACGCAGTGACGAAGGGCTTCGCCATGCCGCTCCCACGAATCGACGACTCGCTCGATACCCTGTCAAGGGCGAGGTGGTTTACCACGCTGGACATGGCCACAGGGTATTGGCAGGTTGAACTGGCGGCTGAAGATCGAGAGAAGACGGCATTTTCGACTGGAAAAGGCCTCCATCAGTTCAGAGTCATGGCAATGGGTCTCAAGAACGCCAGCGGCACTTTCCAGAAGATGATGGAACTGATTCTCGCAGGCCTTGACACCAAAAGCTGTTTGGTGTACTTGGATGACGTCATCTTGTTCAACAGGACCGAGGAAGAACATCTGGCTACCCTGCAGGAGGTACTCCTGAGGATTCAGCAAGCCGGGCTGAAGCTAAAGGCACAGAAATGTCGATTCGCACGCAAGGAGGTGACTTTCCTTGGACATCTCGTCTCCGAGGAAGGGATACGTCCAGATCCGCATAACGTGGACAAGGTCCTGGCCTGGCCGCAGCCGTCATCCGAGGAGGAGATGAAAAGCTTCTTAGGCCTGTGCGGGTACTACGCGCGGTTTATTCAGGGGTATGCCGCGATTACAAAGCCACTTAGGGACGCCGCAGTAGAGGAGGGACGAATCAGGTGGTCCGAACCGATGCGCATTGCATTCGAGCTGTTGAAGTCCACTCTGTCCTCGCCTCCCGTACTGGCTTTGCCAACAGGTGAAGGGACGTTCGTCCTGTATACAGACGCATGCAACTCTGCTGTGGGTGTGGTGCTGGCTGAACGCATTGGAGATGAGGAAAAGGTGATCGCCTATGAGAGTAAGGCACTCACAAAGCAGCAGACGAGATGGCCGACTTACGATAAGGAACTCTGGGCGATCGTTCATGGCATCAGACATTTCCGTCAGTACACTGTTGGTGCCAGATTTGAAGTGGTGACCGACCACAAGCCGCTGGCAAACATACCGACATCGATCGCAGCAGAGCGAGACGGCACAGGACGTCGTGGTCGATGGGCGATCGAGCTGAGTTCTTTCGACTTCAATGTTCGGATCCGCAGCGGTCTGGCCCACGGGAACGCTGATGCGCTGTCTCGCAGACCACCAGATATGGCGTCTGCGGTCCGATCTGGTCAAGCCCAAGGCCAGGGGTGGTGTCCCGGTCGCTCTGTCTCAGAGAGAGGTGATAGAACGGAGACGGTGGGGTCAGTAGCGGGCGGCTCGCCCGCGCCGACGGAAGGCGGTTCGCCTGAGTCGGTTGTGACTCTTGTAGCTCCAACTGCTGTATTCTCAAGGCTTACGCAGGAACCGGCTGCTGTATCAGTCGCTGTGTCACAATCAGTCCAAGAACGGACCCTCCCTCCAATCGCCCAGGCGCAAGCCAGTGACGCGACGCTGTCGGCTCTCCGAAGAGCACACGAGAGGAAGGAGAAGCCAAGGCCTGCAGCGTTCGCTGGGTGGGGAGTGCTGCGAAAACACTGGAGCAAGGTGCGCGTCATGAATGGAGTAATCGGCATTGCCTCGGGTCGACAGTTCCAGGCGGCGGTGCCTCAAACTGAACGGGCCGAGATCATCCGACTGGCGCATGATGATCCATCGAGCGGGCACATGGGTCGCAGACGGACCATCGCCCGGGTGAAGGCTCGATTCGTCTGGCCGGGGATGAATGAGGACATCCGGAGCTTCTGTGCCTCGTGCACGCCGTGTCAGCGGCGGTACAGACCGGCACCCAAAAGACGAGCACCGATGGTTACCGAGGTTACCTCACGACCCTTCCAGAGAATAGCCATGGACATCACGGAGATGCCTGTGTCGAGAAGAGGCAACCGATATGTGCTCGTGATCATGGATTACTTCTCAAAGTTCGTACGAATCTTCCCGATGCCGAATCAGAAGACAGAAACGGTGATGGAGGCACTCCTTCACTGGGTTCAGGAGCTTGGTGTTCCCGAGAGGCTTCACACAGATCAGGGCGCTCAATTCGAATCTCTGATGATGCGTGAGCTGTATCAGAGGCTCGGCATCCACAAGACTAGAACAACGCCTTATCATCCTGAGAGCGACGGGATGGTGGAGCGCTTCATGAGGACCCTGAAAGACATGGTGTCGAAATACATCGACAGCCAGGGCCTTGACTGGGACGAAAGTACCAGATCATACGCCATGGCCTACAATTCTTCCCTCCACGAAACCACCGGTCACACACCTTTCTACATGATCCATGGCTTTGAGCCTCGGTTGCCTTTGGATGTAATGTACGGAACCGATGAAGTCGCAATACCAGCTGAAACCTTCCTGAACAAACGGCTGAAGAACATGAAGCGGGTCTTCGCACAGGTGAGGAGAGCCTCCTCCCAATCAGCTGCTCGAATGGCGGTTCGCCATGACAGCAAACTCAATTTTACCGCGTACCCAACGGGCTTGAAGGTGTGGGTACGAGACCACACTGCCGCTGTGGGAGGAAAACCGAAGCTGGGTCTGCCGTTTAAAGGACCGGTGACCATCGTCGAGAGAAGAGGCACACCGGGGGAGGAAGTTACCTACCGGATACAGGACGTCCGCGGCAAGACACGCGTCGTGCACCACAACGACCTCAAGGAGTTCATCCCTCGTCGGACCGACTTGCGGCCAGTTCAGGATCCGAGTGGTCCAAATGGACGTGGTGAGGCCGTGGGGGTGGATCCCGTGAGCGACTGTGGTAACGAGCATGGCGTTCTGCTCGAGGTGCCGCTAATGCACTTACTCGGGAGAGCTGGCCCATCTGGTGATGTGGGCGTCGCTCAGAGGGGAATGTTGCCGCCAATGCCATACGTGACCAGATCAGGCCGAGTGTCGCGACCACCTGAAAGGTTCCAGGCGGGACTATGAGTGTGGTGGAGGTGGTGAAGGCTGTGATTGTGTATATAGTTGTAATGTAAATAGCGTGTCGTAAGTGTCGCATTGTTCAATGTATGATTGTTTCCGTGAGGGGGGAGGGGTGTTACGGGCGGCTGTGACCGCCCGTTGTGGCATGCCTGGCGCCGCCCGTGGCGCCTCCCCGGCTGGCCGCGCCCGGCGCCGCCCCTGCCGCGTGGCCCTCGGGCGGGGTCGAGGGCTGGCGCTGGCTGGGCGGTCGGCGGCCCGGGAGAGGCAGGGAGACCGTGGTTACGAGCGGTTGGCTCTGTGGTTCTTGTTTGGGCCTCTGCCGATAATACAGTAAAGCATCGAGTCTGAGTGTGTTCAGCTCCCGCAACAATTGAACAGAGATGGAAGTGAGTAAAAATGGACTCAGTTTTATAGAATGTCGCCGGCTTGAGGGGCAAATGTAAGTAAAATAAAGACGTAGGACATAGACGTAAGGGTGGGTTTATGCTGAGGATCCACGCCTCCTCACCAGGACACGACCTTGGACCAGCAGAGAGAGAGAGAGAGAGACCCTTTTCGACTGCGTCGCTCGGTGTCCACCTGTTCTGTCCACTTATTCACCCGGACCTGAGGAGTTCGGTCCGACCGGTAATAGCGTCCGAGTAATTAGACTGGCAGCGGCGGCGCCCGACCATCACTCAGAGGCCGCGACTCGAGACCCCTGTGCCCCCTCCCCTGCACCCCCTTCCCCCCAGTAACGGTCACCAGTGTCACCAGACCAGCCTTCATTAGAGGCGCGCGGCTATTTTCGGCGGCACCGCTGAGACGCACCGCCAGCGACGGCGCCGGGCTGCGGTGACGATCGGCCGCCCTGTCCACCCGTGATGGGCTCACCCTAATTGAGGGGATCACAGGAATCGGCGCCGGGGTCAGTGTCGCCGCCGACCGCCCGTGGAGCCGCGTGGACGGCGCGGAGCTGATACCAAGTGTCGTTCCTTGTCGCCGAGTGTCACCAAGTGTTGCCGAACGTCCCAGAGTTTTCAGAGTAGGTACTTACGTACCCATATGAAGCCCATCGGCAAAGCCGCAGACACCAAGTTTATGTACCAAGTTGAAAAATAGAATTATATGTATAGGTGCATAACAATAATGAAAAAAGTATGTGAGTACATACCTACCCGTAACCAGGTATATTACTCAGCGCGCGACACACGCAGCTACATAATCACAACTTTTCGAATCTCGGCCCACTCCGTGCGGCCGTCCGACCTTGACACCGGCTCGGGTCGGTCACGTGATCAGCGCCTCGCCTCGGGCGCCGCGGACCACGCGACGGTCCGGCACGAGCGGTGAGTCGAGGGGATGGAGTCCGCTGCACCCGCTGGTAAAAAAGCCCATCCAGTATCCACTCTGATACATCAAATAAGCCGCCTTAGGATAATTACAGAATTAGCTTTGCATCAGTCGAAGAAATATCGGACGTGCCTCATTTATCCTCAATAACAGCTCAATTTCTTAGTGCAATGGCGGTTAACCTCCGAAAGAATCTGATAGGCTGATAAAGATGTATCGATTATCGATAGCTATTACAGGAATTTACACAATCCTCCATTTATTAGTACTTCGGCTTTCAATAGCGTTGCCTGTATAAATGGAGAATAGCATTATCTGTGTCCGATTAAGTCGCGCGGAAGGTCGTGTGACTTGTTTAACAGCCCAACTTCTGGGAACACGACCATTGCAACCGAACGGCACATGCCAGGCTTCGAATCGCGAGATCATTAATCTATGTAGCTATCCACCTAAAAGCTGATCTATGCAGTAAACACTAGGCATGCGGTATGTTAGTGAGGTCTCAATTAGACCTGCTAATTTGTGGTAATGTCAGCATTGTATGCTAATTGAGAAAAAGCGAATGCCTTGTGATTGAATTCAAAAGGCACTCATGGAATACAGTAAAGTTGCACATCGCAAAGACCCGTCCTAGCGTTGATGCACATAGCTAACGATGTGACGTTGCTCTTTTACCCCGCCTACGCCTTGAATCCCGATAACGATGAGAGTGCGGGAAATTGAATTCAGGGAAATTAACTTCGCCACATGTATCTTCTACCCGGTTTGTTTTGGCTTCGATACACGGCCAATTTGTTTGACCATCGCGTATTTATGCACTGCAGCACCCATTAACCTACAGATAATGCAGAAAATGTCACGGGCATGCGACTATAACTGAAGATCCACTGATGTTGCGCTATTCCATAGCACCGTCACAGCCCACAGCACGTTCGTTAATGCCCAGTTGGGTAGGCATGTAAGCAGTAAGCACTGGTGAATCCAGAAAGGTGTCTTGGACGCTGCGTGGGTTACCCAAAAATAGCTTCTTCATATTCTAAAAAAAAAACTCATCGGATTTCGAATTAAATACTCACTGCTGTGCATGTTAAAACGGCCTTTGCCACATAAAAGTTGTTTAGTTTTCGTTTTATTCTCGAAAAAAGCATTTTTTGTCAATTTCTGGCGCCACGGGGAGGACATTTCCCCTAATGCCCCCCCCCCCCCGGATCTGCCAGTGTATGTAGGTGTTGCAGCGGCTCTTATAAGTCGCTCATCTTAGCAGTTAGCATGAATTATTTATTCGAGGAAGCCGGTGACATTTTGTTTTCAGGCAAATATCAACATCGATGAAAGTTTTTCAAAAAGGCTAAACGCTTGGACGGATTGACAAAAAAAGGAGTAGTTTTGCTACCTTTTTACTTTGAGGATGTTTCTAGTAATTGTCAGAGGAATGTGTGTGGCCGCCGATCATGTGAAGACGTGATGCAATGCGCACATATGCCTGGTTATAACTATATGTAGTCTGTACTTGTTTGTCATTTTTAAATGGACGCAATTACTTATTGTATAGATGGCTGCATGCCTATTGACAATGACTCTCAACAGGCCTCTGAAGTCCTGTTCTTCCCTGAATGGTATGCTTAGTGCAATGATTAATGGCCGTTATTATGATAAATTTAATGAGAAATAATTCACCGGGATACAATAGTACTGCTGGTGTTGTTGTAAATGTAATGCTATCCCTAAACATACCTACTCCATGCAGTGGCGCAGCCAGGGGGGGTGAAAGGGGTGAGATCTCACCCCCGTCTCTAATCCTAGGGGCCCACCGTCGATTCGAACTGTAACGTTATGCAGCCTGCCAATTTTTTTATCACTAATGTCAGGTCCGTCATAGGACTGAAAAACAGTTTTCAGGCCTGATAGCCCCCCCCCCCTTTAGGATTTATAGTCCCATTTTATGATTTAAGGGGGTACATCCAAGGCCCGATTGAACTAGTCCAAGGCCTAGGAGAGCCCGTTCCGTGGCATGAGAGGGCCATTTCAGGTCTGAAAGGGCCCATTTCAGGTCTGTGAGGGCCCATTTCAGGCCTGAAGGGGTCCAGTTGAAGCTTGAGAGGGCCCATTTCAGGCCCTAGAGGGCCTGTTTGAGGCTTGAGAGGGGCCCATTTCAGGCCTGAGAGGGCCCATTTGATGCCTGTGAGGGCTCATTTTAGGCCTGAAGGGGTCCATTTCAGGCCCTAGAGGGCATGTTTGAGGCCTGATAGGGCCCACTTCAGGCCTGGGAGGGGCCATTTCAGGCCTGAGAGGGGCCCATTTCAGGCCTGAGGGGGCCCATTTCAAGCTTGAGAGGGCCCATTTCAAGCTTGAGAGGGCCCATTTCATGCCTTAGAGGGCCTGTTTGAGGCCAGAGAGGGCCCGTTTGAGGCCAGAGAGGGCCCGTTTGAGGCCAGAGAGGGTCCGTTTGAGGCCTGAGAGGGCCCATTTCAGGCATAAGAGGCACTATTTCAGACCTGAGAGGGCCCAGTTACGGTATGAGGGGGCCCTTTTTCGACATGATAGGGACCATTTCCGGGCTGAGGGGGCCCATTTCAGGTCTGAGAGGGCCTATTTTAGGTCTGAGAGGGCTAATGTCAGGCCTGAGAGGGCCTATTTCAGGCCCTTGAGGTCCTATTTGAGGCCTGAGAGGGGCCCATTTCAGGTCTGACAGGGCTAATGTCAGGCCTGAGAGGGCCCATTTCAGGCCCTAGAGGACCTGTTTGAGGCCTGAGAGGGGCCCATTTCAGGCCTGAGTGGGCCCAGTTCAGGCCTGAGAAGACTCATCCCAGGAGAAAGAATCATCCTATGTGTGGCAGGGTCCGTACTCCGTGCCTGGTCTGGGTCTGAGAGGGCCTATCCCAATCCTGATTGAGCCGATATCATGTTTGATATAGGTAAACTCACCACATGTATATTGATGGCCCAGTTCATGTCTAATGGGCCCATCTCAAGACTCAGAGATTGTATGCTTCAGGAAGCCTACCCCAAGCGTGAGGGGGCCCGTAGAGGTTTTTGAGGCTCATGGAGGTCCCGCAGTACGATATGTCAGCCTCTGAGAAAGCCATGCAGGGCCCTTAAGATGCCAAGCCGACATCTGAAAATTCCTCTTCTCTTCAGGCCTGTGCCTGCCTCACCGTCCGGTCCCACCCTGACGTCTAGGGGTTTGACTCCTAGGTATTCATTAGGACTCCACACCGGTCCATGATGGCTCCAAACTGACACCTGAGGCTCCTGCACCGGCTTTTGAGGGGCCCATCGACCTCTGATAGCCACCACGCAGGTCTCAAAAGACCATGTCGAATGTTGATATCTAAACCCCTAAGTCATGGAATGCCTGTGCTCTATGCAGATTCTTGAGGGCTTTACGTGGGCTTGTAAACATCCCGAACTGGCTCTAGCATAGCTCGACCGCGCCCCGCAGAGCAGGGCCCCAGGCTTTCCAGTTTTACGTCCCTGAAGGGTGTTTGAATATTCCCTTCTAACCTGACTCCAGGGTCACGTAGCGACAAGTGCGGCGGTAGGCGGCTTTCTAAAGAGCGTCGAAAATCATGGAGAAATTACTTCAGTCATGTTGCAGTTCAGACCAAAGCCCACGTCATCATGTTCATCGAAGGAAAAGTTTCGCCTATTTCGACACTCGAGGACATAAAAAGCTACATATAGCGCGCTGAAAGTGGGTTCGATAGCTCTCTAACGCGTGCAATCAGCCAAGGGGGGGGGGGGGGGGGCGTATCGGCCAAACCCGATCATAATTTAAGAAGGCTAGAAAGACGGGAAAAGCAACAGATAGCTGTAGGATGCTTCAGAATCGTAGAGGTCATTTTTCGATAAGGTCATCACTGAGGTCATTGAAGATGAAATTATGATAAAATTATGATAAACACAAAGACAAGATTACGACGAAAAAATTCTTGTTTTTATATTTTCACAAATAACCGTATAACTCGTGAACCAAAGAGCTAGAGCTTCGCGGAACAATTCATTCGATAGGCCTTTCAAAACGTTTTCGCTAATCGCTTTTAAGATTTGACCTCAAGGCTCAATGCCTCATGTCAATGGTTTGGCAACAGAGCAGAGGGCAAAACAATCTAAATAGTCGCATTTTACCAAAATAGTTTTGCTACGAATTTTGCAAGAACTTTGGTGAGAAAAATTATGAGACATTTACTTTGTCATCATTCTCTCGTTAACATGCATCGAATGTTAACACCTATAATTTCACATAAAAAGTTCAACTTCAAAATGTGACCGCAGATCAAGGTCATGGAAAAATTGATGTTGAGCTTTTTTAAAAGCTTTTTGACCTAGCCCGACCATTTGAGTGGCCGCTGGCTATCAATTGCACGCTGTCCATCAAATATGGGCAGAATGGTCGTGTTTCTGTAAATATGCTGTTGTTTTTTACATGCCTCTTCAGATCAAGAGATATTTGTCCTTTTACCCGATTTGGCTGGTAATGATCAGGACAATGATCTGAACTTTCGTTGTTGGTAAGGGGCCCCCATTAGGTTGAGGGGGGCCCACTTTGCTGGGGGGCCCATCGCGAACGTCTCTCACCCCCGTCGCCAGAGTTCTGGCTGCGCCACTGACTCCATGGGCTCTACCAGGCCATTTGCCAGGAGTAAATTATTACTATTCTAACTTCAATTGCCGTTTCATTGCTGTTTTGGTGCATTTGATCTACATATACGGTAATATACATTTACATATCAGTCCCTATAGGCTAGCACTGGTCTTTAACCCTCGCGGGTCCGGGAGGATTTTGCCCCTCTTCCCTGGAGAATATTAGCGATAGCTCACAAACGCTTAGGGATAGGAAAGAAAAACTTTTCAGTGCCTTTTCCCCACCAACTT